GAACAGTGTATTCAGGAAAACTGGATGGTACAGTCAAGCATATAAACTCAAGAGCTCCACTAGACGTTATTTAAACAAGTCGCGTTCTGAGTGTTCTGTGACACTGCGACAGTGGTAACCCGGGATTTACAAAGGTACAATATCAAAGCTGAATGCACAGAATTATTTCCTAAACCAGGGTAAAGAGTAAACAGTATATATTTGAATCATCAAAGTATAACTGTCTATGAGAAAAGAAAAAAAAATTTGGTCTGTTATGATGAAATCTTAGACTTGACCACATGTGCATTTATGAGGAAAGCACTTTTCCTGGAGACCAAATTTTCTACAGTGGTTAACCTCTTTCTGAAAGTTGCATCAAACCTGTATGTCTTCTGTCTCTGTTCTAGTTCTTTGCGCCTGTGCTGTTTCACCATTCCGGTCTTGTCATGCTGTGGCAATCGAGCTGAAACACAGCAAGCATTAAAACCTTATGTTATGGTAAAGTTTAGGCCTTTATTACAGGAAGAATTTGCAAGCCAATCAGAACGTACCCCTGCCGTCTCTGAGGATCACCTCTTTGTCATCAACTAGCCAGCGAAAGCAGGGGAACTCAACGTAATCTCCACACGGCGTCTTCACCGTGATGTATTTGCAGTGCCAGTCATCATGCACCCAGTATTTCTTCTTTTCAATTTTCACCAGCTCGATTTTGCCCAGGTCTTCTCCCACACTGACGTCATATGAGTCCACCTTGAATTACATCTTATGTTAGATGTTATTGGAATGCAGTGGCTCAAAAAAAAGGGGGGAAAGAAACAGGCATGTAGGTTTAACACTCTTCCTGCGACTGATCATTGTTTTTATCTTTCTCTTATCTTTTGTCTGACTTTAGTGATTAGACTCGCTTAGAGATACACTGTATGACTAGTTCAAAGATACTGAACAAGTTTCATCTAAGGACTGTGGTTTGATTTAAATGATCAGAGAGCATTGGCTATAAAGTGTTTTATCATATCACAGTTGAAGTGCGCCACACTGAAAACAAAAATGGTGAAATAATTTTTACTCAGGAAATTGCTTTCACAAATGATAGAATCGGCAAGTAACACACTGAATGAAACAGGAATTTTGAAGTAAAAAGACTGAAATGGTGTGGTTTCTTGTAAAATATGCTAAAATAACTTTGAAAAATCATTTTTAAGTGTCATAAAGACATATAACTTATAAGACTTTATACGACACGTGCAATAGACTTATGATGCGCTTCAAATCTGACAGTATGTTATGTTGTTGTGAAGAGATTATTTGATTTTTGATTAAAGCCATAAAGCCCTGATCATTGAATTTGGGACAAAACATGCCCAAAATGTGATCTGCCATTGTTAAAACAGCATCCTTTCCACCTTTAAATTATTCATCCTTTTTTCCCCGTTACTTAAGATTAAGAAAACTCATACTTGTGGTTTATAAAGCCCAAGCTTTGAGTCAAATTAATCAAAAGCCATAAAAGAAAGAATACCAGAGCATTAAAAAAAGGGAAAAAAAATAGTTGCAATTTTAATTCACAAAGAAAAAGGCAATTAATTTATGCAATATAATTCTTTACATAATTTGCACGATATGTTCAATATAATTCAGATACAATGAATCAAACTCTTCAAAAGGAGCTCAAAGGTCTAATACAGTATAAGTTGCGCTCATATAGGCAAAGACTGTTAGTATCTTACCGCTCCTCTCTCAAAGTCATTATAGAGGGGTTTATCCAGGAGAGTTCTCTCGCTGCATCCCTCAGATCCCACCAGGGTCAGATAAATGTAGTCATCTGTTCCAGCAAACCACTGAGAGCCTGTGGCCACAGTCACTGTGTAGTTAGGCATTTTCGTCAAGCTGGAGATCAACTCTGCAACTGAACTCAAATGGACTTTTCAAGAGTCACACTTCGACTGCATTTCCTCTTCTCTCTCCCATTCTCTCTCTAACTGACTCACTCAAGCCACAGACTTCACACATACTACACGGAAATTCATAGATGTGCTCTTGATTAGCATTGGGGTATAGGCTTTACACAAGTTACTTGTATCAAGAAGTGTGTGTGAATGGCATCATGCAGTTTATTTATGAATTTGATTTCTGTCAATATATTACAGTAAATCACTCTCTACACTTCACAATACAGGAACCAGTTTTTAAGGTGCTCTGCCTGGCATGCTTATCAGATATTTTAGTTCTTGTTTTTCTTTAAGGCTTGTCAAGTGTTTTACTTAGAGCGGTTGCTTCACACCTATTTTTGAATATTAGTTGGTCTTGATAGTTTGCAAGGTTTTGTGGCATTTGCCTTGTGGTGTACCAGCTCACATTCCGCTGATGAATACAACCTAATTTGCAATTTGCAAAAAAAAAAAAAAAAGTATATATATATATATACATATACTATACAACTATTGTCTAATTTAATATATTTTAAAATTATTTATTCCTGTGATGCAAAGCTGAATTTTCAGCAGCCATTACTCCAGTCTTCAGTGTCACATGATTCTCACATAATTGCAATATGCTGTTTTGCTGCTCAACAAACATTTCTAATTATTAGCAATATTGAAACCAGTTGTGCTGCTTTAGTGGAAACTGATACATTCTTTCGGTATTCTTTGATAAAGTAGAATTTATTTTAAAAAATAAATAAAAATAAAAATAATAACCCATACTGACCCTAAACCTTTGAATGGTAGTGTATATGTGTATAAAGTGCTTTAATGGCCCTAGAATAACAATTTTATTCAAAGTACAGAAGGACGAAAATCCACACTGGCCAGTGAGCTCTACTTTTTCTTATGACTCGCATGGTAACATGATAAGTAAGCCATACATACTATAAACAGTGTTGTGTTTGTAACATATTTTCCAGTCAAATAAGATGTCATCAAACATCAGTACCTTACAAACATTGGAGGAAATTAATGCAAATGAATTGCTAGGTGGGAGGTGTATCATTGTAAATGCGTTTCCAAACAAAAATGAGGAAACTTTAGGGAAATCCCACCGAATGACAAATGGTGTAGAATGGGATCATGCAAATACTTACTGGCAATATGTTTTTTAAGTATCTGAAAGCAATAAAGATCAACTCCAGCACAAGACAAAAGCCTTTACTTTTACGCCAAAGAGTTTAACATTGGTTTAACATTTACATTTCTTTAATGATCATCTAAGCATACATACAAATGAATAATCACATGTACAGAACAGGCATTCTCATTGTTAATTTGTTCAATGCCTATAAATCATTCATCAGGCGATTTATCCAAAGCAGCAAGACGAACTTCCTCCACAGTTCTCAAGAATCAGAAAAGATAAGCTTAGTGATTCAGCTCGATGGCATTCAGTGCAAATAAACTTGAAATGTGTTCAATTAATCATGACCTTCACTACTCATACATGTATTCACTTAGTAATAAAACTGTATCAGTCGCTGTTTAATGTACTCATACGCACATTCATATATTCATAAATGTTTCTATTCATCTTTGGAAACAGGTGCAGTTAAATGATCAACAATGATGAACCCAAAAGTCAAATTTAAAGAGGTTTAAGGACTCCTTTATTCACTGCAACATGTATTCACTTAGTAATAAAACTGTATCAGTCGCTGTTTAATGTACTCATACGCACATTCATATATTCATAAATGTTTCCATTCATCTTTGGAAACAGGTGCAGTTAAATGATCAACTTGTACATGAACCCAAAAGTCAAATTTAAAGAGGTTTAAGGACTCTATTCACTGCAACACTGAGAAAAAAAAAAAAAAAAGCAATTAAAATTGTAGAATTACTAGAGATCTATTGCAATAACACATTATATTAGTCCATGTTTTTGAACATTGTGGCATAATTGTCAGCACAACATGTGAAAGATCTGTTGCAATGGCTGACACGTTTACTTTATAAATGTTTTGAGATTACAGTAATAAAATAAAATGTAATCAGCTTAAAAACAGTCAGATTTGTTTGCTTTGTACAAACTGTTGTTGTTGTTTTGCATTATTATCGCTTACATGATAAGTATGTTTCAACAGTTTTGGCCATATATATATATATATATAGAACCTGCAAATTCCTAAATTTCAAGGTCACTGCTAAAAAAAAAAAGCAATTACAACAGAAAGGAAATGAGGCAACCGTTTGAGGGAGCTCATTTCCATACAAAACAAAATAAGGCAATTACTCAACTTTATATTTAAAAAAATAATAATTAATTTAATTTTCTTCTGGCCGGGTAAAAGTGTAATGACAGTGCGCTACTCCAATATGAGATTCATAACCCAGGCAAGACAGAACTATTTGTTTTATGACATGTCTTTGACAAATCCTTTGCATATGGAAAGGCAAGTCATCATTTTATTTAATTTAAACATTATTGTATTTAAGGGACTCTTGTAGTTCCCATCACAAATCAGTGAACAATAATTTAAGATTCATATGCATATCAGCTGTGATACATTCATCACCACACACATGCTCTCTGTGAACTAGCCTGCACTGTAAGGCATCAATCAGATATTAAACTTGAGCCACCGTAACGTCGGCATGCGAACATGACTGAATACTGCATAGACATTATGTACACTCTCTTCCATTCCCTATAATATTGAATTGTAGAGGAAAGTCATCTTTATCACTAAAAGAGACAAATATCAGTCAATTAGATTTGAGGTGACTCAGATTTGCTGAAATATAAAGCTACATATGAATGAAATGTTCCATATTTCCATATTTGACATAAAAAGTGACGTCATCAGTCATAGTTAAAAGCATTGTGATATACCGAAACTGTCCACATAGGTAAAATCTGTGATTTCGTGTTTCGCTAACATGAGTGAAAGATTAAGGCATATTGTTCAATCTGAGATGGGATGGCTTTTTACAGGCAAGTTTCAGACGCAGGTTTCCATGGCATTTCCAGTGTCGGTTGTTTCTGATCCACACATAACGCAAAAGCAAGCTTTTGTCTCTGCATTGTGATATACCGAAACTGTCCACATAGGTAAAATCTGTGATTTCGTGTTTCGCTAACATGAGTGAAAGATTAAGGCATATTGCTCAATCTGAGATGGGATGGCTTTTACAGGCAAGTTTCAGATGCAGGTTTCCATGGCATTTCCAGTGTCGGTTGTTTCTGATCCACACATAACGGAAAAGCAAGCTTTTGTCTCTGTATCCATAGTGACTGTTGCTGTGCTGTGCAAAGCCACAGGTTTGCCATTTGTGAGGGTGTTTTGTAAGAACTGGAGCTCAGATGACTGGTCACTGGAATGGCAGACAGGGCTGCTGTGATGTTGCCAGGGGTCGTTTCAACTCGTTCCTGTAAGGCTTAGTGACTGCTTGTTCTAGTTTAGGTGAAGAACTTGCTTCATGAACTCATAAGTGGTGAAGGCAACGGCTTGTGATGGTATACAGCGGATGTAGTTGAGGGACAGGCCACGATACAGTCCTTTCTTAACACCATACTGGGTGTACACATGCTTGAGAGTTTTTGTCAGGCTGCTGCTCAAAAAAATCAAGTAAAAACATATTAGTGATCACAGACAAGATTTGATGGAAATTTTGAGTGTAACATGCAGAGATCTAATTGCTATTCATTACTTATATACTTATTACCACAGTTTCTTCAAACATATTAAGCAGCACAACTGATTTCAACATGAAAATGTTTCGAAATGTTTCGAGCAGCAAAGTAACTGCTCGAAAAGTAACTGCTCAACCATATACAGAAATGCGCAAGTATACAGACCACAACAAGCAGGATTCTACATTCTACATGTACAAACTCTTTTTGAATTTGCAGCGCGTTTCTGTATTTGTTTGTGTTGTGAGAATTTGCAGCGCGTTTCTGTATTTGTTTGTGTTGAGTCTTAGCAGCACGTTTCTGTATTTGCAGCGCATTTCTGTATTTGTTTGTGCTGAGTCTTAGCAGCACATTTCTGTATTTGCAGTGCATTTCTGTATTTGTTTGTGTTGTGAGTCTTAGCAGCACGTTTCTGTATTTGCAGCGCATTTCTGTATTTGTTTGTGTTGTGAGAATTTGCAGCGCATGTGTTGTCAAACTGATGAAGATGTTTTCTTAATTTGCAGGTGTTTTTTCTGTTTGCATGTGTGTGTGTTTTTTTTTTTTATTTGCAGCGCGTTGAGCTCTCTCGGCCCCCGTACAAATGGCATAAAGTTGTAAACAAGTTCAAAACAACATCAAAATAAAATGTATGGTAAATTGGTTGCCATTGCCTAGGGGTGGGCGATATGAGCTAAAATTCATATCACAATATTTTACACTGTCCAGGCGATATCGATATTATACTGCGATATGAGAAAAAAAATTACAGGCAAAATATTTTAACCTTATATAACTAGAAAAAGTGAGGGATTGGACAAAGACCTGAAAAGCCTTTTTTTATTGTGCCATAGTTTTTCTCAAAAAGTGCAAACATGTAACATGCGGTAGGCCTGTATGAATTAAATGAAATTAAATATTGTGTGTTTGAGTTGGCCAGTGGTTCCCAAACTTTTTCTGCCAGGCCCCCCTTTTGTAGTGAAAAATATTTTGAAAGCGTACCAAATTGAACAAAACAATATAAATGCAAAATTTGAATTTGTGAATATATAACCATATCCAATGTATAGCAAAATCCATATCATGGAACAACATGATACCGATAG